ACCATCTGCACCTGCCCTAGAGCTGCCCCTGTTTCCTGTGGCTTCTGAGAGCCCCCGAGCCCCCTTTAACCCAGCCTCCTCCCTTATCGTTGCAGCAAATTCTTTGTCTGTGTTCACGCTACTGTCTTCTTACCTAGGGCCTCACATACAGTAATGCACAGTCGTGCCTCTGCTCTCAGACTGTTCATTTGCAAATGGAGTGAGTTCTTGGCATTTTCTTTGGAGATGGTGAATCTGCTCTTCACAGATTGTGCATAACATATCTGATTACCATCATACTATATATTTACTACTCACTCCAGCCCCTTCCCTGGAGCCTGGGAAACAGAGTTCATTCAGTAGCTACTGAAGGTTAATCCAGAGGTTGCACAGGAGAGTCTCAGGGACCCCCTATGTTGTCTTGGGTCCTCTCCAGACTCCACCAGCTGCACCTCACACTGGGCACCTGCAAACACACAGACATCCTGGTAAGAAACTGCCTGACATATTCAGTTTCCCTCAAATTTATTCACTCACACTCAATCTCTCTAGTTCACCTTTTAAAACAGCAACAGTGAAAACCCAGCTCAGCGCAAACTCCATGGTGAGTCCTCTATCTTTAGTCCTGATCACCACATGGAAACCCCTGGGAATCCCAGGGCTGGGGCTTCTCTCCCAGACCTGCAGGGTCCGGACTGGGCTTTCATCAGCAGAGGGAGAAACCTATTTGCATGTCTCCTACTGTATAGAAAGCTCTGGGACGGGAATCCTGAGGAGTGGCAGGGCTCAGAGCAGATAAAGTGCCCTGGGGGAGATTGGTAGTGATCTTATCACTCAGGAAAACATAATTTGATGTGATTGTGCCTTAATAATCATTTAGCATCATCATCTTCATTTTTACGTATTTGTAGAATACATTTAATGCAAGTATCAATGTTACATTTTAAGAAAGATAAATTACATACAGAACAGAGTGTTTGTACAATGCGTCCAAGGTCACACAGCTGGACAGCGTTAGCCTCTTTATCTCTGCCTGTGCCTCTGACCACTAGAGGAGACTTCTCTCCTGAGACAACTCGAGGGCAGTGTGGGACATGCCTAGTGAGGTTTGCAGGATTCTACCCCTGCCAGGACATCTCTGTTTTCTTTTTCTTTTTCTTTTTTTTTTTTTTTTTTGAGACGGAGTCTCACTCTGTCACCCAGGCTGGAGCGCAGTGGCCGGATCTCAGCTCACTGCAAGCTCCGCCTCCCGGGTTCACGCCATTCTCCTGCCTCAGCCTCCCGAGTAGCTGGGACTACAGGCGCCCGCCACCTCGCCCGGCTAGTTTTTTTGTATTTTTTAGTAGAGACGGGGTTTCACCATGTTAGCCAGGATGGTCTCGATCTCCTGACCTTGTGATCCGCCCGTATCGGCCTCCCAAAGCGCTGGGATTACAGGCTTGAGCCACCGCGCCCAGCCTGATTTCTTTTATTGTATTCTGCTGTTGGCCTGAACTATATAGAGAGAACCAGTGTTAAAGCACATGTACTTTCAAGAGTCTGGGATGTTTCGAGTGCTCATACTCATCTATTTCTTGCTCCTCCTCAATCAACTTATTCATTTGTTTCTTTGTTACTGCTTTTTAAGTACAATTAATAATCAATTCAAATATACACTGCACAATTTGGAAAATGGTAACGTATGTGTGCAAACTTTAATCAGGTTGTGTACAATTAAGTCAACCCCTAAATCTTTCTGTCAATTCTCTGTAATTTCCTCTCACCACTCAATTACTTTCAGCACCCATTTCTCACAAATTTCAAATCTGCTCTGTTGCTTTGGAATAGTTGGACCTTTTGCAGTTTATGGAATTAGAAGTTTATGAAGTGCACTCTTAATTCTTCAGCTACTTTCACTCAGCAGAGTTATTTGAGAATGTAGACAGGCTTTTAGGAGAATGAGGATCCCTTGATTCTAATTCTGCATTGTACTTTGGTCCATAATCATATGTCAAATTGTTTATCGTTCTTCACCTGTAGTGGATATGGATATTTGATTTGTTCTCTTAGTTTCTGGCTTTTATATAGAAAGTGGCTACTCAGTGTGCAAATGTGAAAAATGAGAAAACTATTATCTCATTCTGACCTCATTAACAACAAACCTGAAAAACTCTGAATAAATGAAGAAGAAAACTTTTTAACATATCTAAGTTGCTTTCACAGAGCAAACAAGAAGAATGAAATCTGAGGAGACAGACACTAGCCAAGAGGACTGCGGCCCACATGTTAGTGGACCCAGGGCAGGTGCCACAGGATGGCATTGAGAGAGGAACAGGCTGACCTGGACATATCTAGTGAGGTTTTTTTTTGGATGCATGTGCTAATGGTGGTAGAGTGTGAATCTACTAGTCCTTGCAGGATTTTCCCAGGAATTTGAAAAATCCACAGTCAACATCCTTATCTGCTGTCCAGTGGTGCTGACAGGAGGAGAAGAACAGCGAGGACTACTGAACGCCTGGATCCACCTCCACTATCTCCAGGGGAAATCCAATAAAACCTGTGTCCTATGGGGTGTGGTTGAGTCAACAGAAACTAAAGAAAACAGAAAATTCCCAGAAAACTCCATCCAGAAGAAATTCTTAATCTGCAGGGTAAGTACAAAGGATCAGAAGCTGAGGACACTGGTGAGAAACCACTGTGGTTGGGAAAAGACGCTCTACCCCTGGGGCAAGAGGCAAAGACAGGAAAATTTGGAAGGTCACCTCCAAACTATGATTTCTACTCATGCATAAGAAGGAGGCTGATTCGGAAGGGTGGAGAATGTCCCCATTTGTTCAAGCCCCTTCTCCACATGGTCAACAAGTCTGCAGAATAATGAAGTGGCTGCATCAGCTCCATTCTGGCCTCTGTCATGTGGCAGTTTTTGTGGATTTGCTTTCTGCTCTCTCATGATTTGTTTCCTCTCTCAAGTCGTAGCTCCATTCTCCTGTTAATTCTCAATTTATTGAAGAGATTCACATTTCGGTTAGAACATGACAATTTTTGGAAGAAATTTTCATCTTCAACACACCAAATCTAATGAGCTCTCTCCAGGGATGCCTATCTGCTTTTTTTCCTTCCTTTCCTATGGGATATGGCCCTTTTTTCTCCCTGAGTCCAGCTCTTACATTCATATGCATGAGAAGTCCAACCATCACATACCCAGGGACATCTTGGAGGAACGGACCCTACCATCGGCTCCTCACCCTTCATTTGCACAGTGGCCACTCTGTCAGCTATTGTATGTGCTTTAGGGCTTTCCACTTAAAAGTGTCTTTCACTATCCCCCCAAATGAAGTTCCTGGTCCTTAATTACCTTGAAGAGCCAGTCTTCTTTTCTGTCCCTTGGTAGGTAATATTGTTTTATTTCATTAAAATTCACTGGGAACATCAGTGAAAATGGAAGTGACCAGCCATCCCATCTCATTGTCTGACTTCTGCCTGACGGACCCACCCATGAGCTTTACTCCATTGCTCTGCAGCTGATGGGGCCATCTGGGCCTTCATTAATAAGAGGTGTGTGATTGATTAGAGAACGACTGAGATCAGCTGGTGCCTGAGCTCCTCAGCACACAGTTGTGGTCCTGCAGTAGAGTGTGTGTGACTGAAATCACATGTGTGTATAGTTCGTGGCCTCAGCCTATAAGCTGACACTAGCTTCTGGCCATTCCTGGGTGGCCCGATGAGGGGTGTCCAGAGAAGGATGGATGCAGGATGTGGATTTTAGAAAGTGATGTGGTAATGGGGGCATTGACAGCCAAATTTTATTTTAAGTCTATTCTGTCCTTGGTACTGGGAAGACTGGGAAGAAACAAACAAAACTCAGACCCCGTGTAGCTCCCCATTTAGGAAGATATTCAGTGCAAATTTAGAAACTTGAAGAAATAGACTATACTGCAGGGATCATTTCTATAGTCCATTTGAGGTAGTAGAAAATAAAACCAGTGACGTTGGTGATGTTGGTATGGTTTTCTGTGACATACTAAGGAGACAACAGAAGGTGGTCAGTGGCCAATCTCCATCCAGCTGGTACCTCTTGTGTATTTGTTCTGTCCAAATAAAAGATAAAAGACAACATTTGTGACACACACACACCAGGGCTGGTTTCAGAGACCTTGCTCAAAAATGGCCAACAGGGCCATGACACATTTTTATATGAGAGCTACTATTTTTGCCTACTTCTTGTGGAAATCTGAGAGATGTGCCCAGCCTCAGGGGGCTGCTTCTCCCTCCAGGAGACAGAGCTAACAGAGTTACATGGTATTAGTTAGTTTGGGTCTTCGTAAAAGACAACAGGAGTGGGTGGCTTAAACAACAAATACTGATTTTCTTACAATTCTGCAGTCTGAATGTCGAAGATCAAGGAGCTGGCAGAATTGGTTCTTAGTGTAGCTTCTTCCTGGCTTGTGGAGGGCCACCTCCTAGTGCACTAGGTCTCCACATGGCCTCTTCTCTGGGTGCACGCGAAAAGACAGAGGTTACATCATTAAAATCCCAGTATAGATCCATTGGATTTAAGGTTTCAGTAAATGAATTTCAAATAGGGCATCATTTGATTGACGACACAAATCAAGAGATGGTGAGAATCCATATATATATATATATATTTTACCATTATGAGTCATGCAGGATTTATGAGTCATGCAGGAACTTGTAGGAAAGTTCCTAGTAATTGGTGAAACCGAAGCAGTAAGCAGAAAAATTGTCTTCCTCCTTTCTTTTCTGGCTGAAGAATGTGAGGAAGCAGAACCACAGATAATAAAGAAAGAGGAGCCCTGGAGACAGCTGAGGTGCTGGTGAGGAGGGAGAGCACCGAGCAGATGAGGAAGCCCCGCCCTCCCTGCACCTGCTCCTGACCCGGCCTCCTGCTCTGTGGGCCCCGCGCGCCCCCTGCTGGTCCTGAGCGGCACCTGCGC